ATTCTTTTCTCGCGAGCTTTTGTACACGATCCACATGCCGCGTTCTGACAATATAATATATGTATGTGTGTATATATATATATATTTTTTTTTCTCCTGTGTTTCTTTATATTTTTCTTTTTATAGTTTATTTACTAAATACACCTAGAGCGAAGCGTTACAATAGGTTTGTACGTACGTATCAAGGACGCGTTACCGGCTCATTGTTCGAGGTGTTGAATCGTAAAGCGGTCTCGATACGTACTCTCTGTCTGTCTACTAGGAAAGGCCAGTATTTTGTTCGAAAGAAAGAGTTCTAAACGATCAAGGTGAGAATGAGCGACGCGAGCGATGACGCGAAGCGAAAATGACACCGAGGAGAAATTGTTTGACGAGAGCCAGGTGAACTGGATGCGGAAAACGCGCACACACTGCTAACAGCCCGACAATGAAATAGAAACTTTTAATTTGAAAATGTAATTGAAATAAATCTGAAGCCTGAATTGAAAAGAATGATGCTATATAAAGAGAAGGGCTATAATCAGCTGTGTATTTGTAATCGACAAATTGTAATAACGGGAGAATGGAAATTTATTTGGCGGATTTCAAGCGAAACGAGCGGATGAAATTTACTTTCGGTAAATAAAATAATAAATGTTTTATAATAATACTGTGTATAAATAAAGTAATGAAGAACTTTAAGTACTTTTTAAGAATTGTTGGAAAACTGGAAATGAAAGTATGGATCAAAAATATGACATTAAATTAAAAATTAGAGACTCAATCTGTAAAAATTGAAACATTTAAAAACACATTAATGGATCTAACTTAAAATTCAACAATTAATGAAACATGTGCTAATATCATCCTTTTCGTTAAAATGTACTATTCGACTGAGGATATTTATGCATTTATGGCGAATTTCAGGATGCAAAAAGTGCACAGAATGCACATAATATTCAGTAGTATATAAAATATCCAAAATACTATATTACACATTATAATACTTAATGGGTGAGACAAAATCCTACATAAGCACAATTAAATTATACATTAAATTGTATACATATGACTCTGCGTACATTAAATTGTATATACATACATTAAATTGCATAATTTAAATATGAATTTGCATAAAAATCCACAGTCTACAAATCACATATGCAAATTTCTAAATTATTACAATTCCAATTAATTTGCAACAATTTCTGCATCTAGCGCCTCAAGCTACGTGTTCCGCCATTATTCTTAACTACAGAACAACAAATTTGTCGATCGACAAATTGAAAACTCGAAGGCGTCGAACACACGATGTGCAGGTGTGTACTCAAGATGGCGTCTTCGCTCGCGCGTCTCCTATAGTGATACTCTCTTGGTACGAGCATGGTTCCAAATGTACTGTCATCTTCTTTTTTTTT